GGGCGGGCTGATTGTAAAGCCTGCCGCGTCGCCGGTCCCCTGAGACCCTAACTTGTGACGTCGCGACCGATATCTCACAGGCTAGATTCTCTGGTATTGGCGATGAGTGCTGCCTTTTGCCGATCAAAAGTCAGTCCTAGTCATCAGAGATAGAAAACGGCCGGAAACGTCGACGCTCTGTAAGCAGGGAAGTTAAAGAGACTCGACATTCTATAGATCTATAATCCACTATCACATGGTGCATCTTAAAAACATACTGGAGATACCCTGTGAATATATAATGCTTTAACATTATAATTTCATATATATTATATATGTATTATATCATTATAGTATCAGAATATCTTGTAACAAAAGAAGGAACTATCTCTAAAAATACGGTTATATATTCACGTTAAAGGTAAAATGTTTAGATGCATTTCAGATTTCCGGATCTTAAGTATCCTACATATAGGAGTTACGTACCGGATTGTAATTTCTAGTACTTCTCTTAGTAAATATAATTAAGTAAATCGTGATAATTAAATATCACGAACGCGGTTTTAAAGTATGGGTGTATTTAATTAAGATAAAAAGAAAAATAAACATCAATTTATGTGTTGATCTCTCTGTATTTCAATGTACATTAGATTGTCTGAACAATAATCTATTCTCCATCTTCTATTTTCCATATGTACAATTATTCATACAAACCACGCCCGCAGTACGATGATAAAAATTGTTGTGATTATAAAAAAATATGTCATCAGAAATATCTTGTGCCCTCTTCCACTAACCTACTTAACTCCGCTGCCGAATAACCTAAAACCTGCTTCAAATCGCATACAAACTTATATACGAATCGTTTCCCGTGCACCTTTGAAATCATATCTCCATCGTAATAGTAACGCAACGCACGACTCAATTTTTCGTAATTCATTGATGGTTTGTTTTTACGCGCTCCCCAAAGTTGCGCTACCGCTTCCGGTTGATTTAACTTGAACTCCCCCTCAGTCCCGACCCATTGAATAGCACCTCTGTGCTCGCGATCTGTTAACAGCTCCAACAAGAACTGCCATAATTGTATTTGACCACTGTTAACCGAACGACTCGATGTCGCTATAGTGATTGGTGTGGAATCGATGTTTTCTAAAGGAACGCTAACTACTCGCGCTTGTTGATTCACTACTGGTCGCGGTTTTGTTGCCTTTTGGTTGCGAATCTTTATGGTTTTATCCACATTATTTTCCGTGGGTGACGATGGTGGATCCTTCTGAACGACAGCTGCAAAATTGCGGAATGAATTAAATATTCGATCATGATTCGATACCATTAGATCACAAATTTTTATGCAAATTGCATAAATTTTGCATAATTTTTCATACTGAGAATATAATTTAAATAGTAAAACTTCAGTAGAAAATTATTTTACCTACCAAGTATTATAGAAAGCACTATATTTTGAATATTTTATATATTTTTCCACATTATATACATTCTGCACAATTTTGCACATTTAATTTTCTTTTAAATATAAATACATAAAAATCTGCATTCTAGATATCACTTTTTTTAGTAAGTATACATACCAACAAATTTGCACTTTCGAAGTAATTCTAAATGAGTCCAGAATACTTCCCCTGGGTCCAGAGGCACTTTAGCTTGGAATTCTTCCAGGGTGAGATTATACAATTGTTGACCTGTGATGTTCCAATCTGCTAATCTCACTGAGGCCAAATTAAATTGCCTAACTGCCCATTGAAGCCAGTGCTTGACATGTGTCTGTGTCCATTCTTTTGGATCAGCTGGAATTTTTAACCGTTCCTGTATAATATATACAAGTGTATAGTCACCATATAAATTGAAAGTAAGTTCGACATTTAATTTTCAACAAATTATACCTGTTCTTTTTTGTATTGTGGGTCAACCATCCATCTTATAACATTTCGTTTGCTATCTTCATTTACTGGTGTGGATGCTAAGTAGTGAAAAACATATGTATTAAAGAAATCTCTACTGGTAATTTATAAATTTTCTCTATATACCATTGTTTTCTGCTAGTTCTATGTAATCCTCTGCAGGTTTCAAAACATCCACTATATTTATTCTCCTTTGTGTTGCTTTTATCTGAACATTTACTTGAACCAATCCCTCTCCCTGCACGCACTGATCAACCAAGTTCTTATGGCTTTCTAGCTGAAGAAATAAATATAAGTGTAAGCAAATATGTTACCAAATTCATTGAACTGCTTAATCACACTGATTACCATTTGTGCATCTTGGAGCCAAAAAGAATAATCTGTTAACTCTACTCCAAGTCTTTGTTCTAATAAATTTCTCAAGGTAGAGAGAGGCTCTCTGATATCCATATGTTGCATTAGAACACCTTCATTGCAATCCTCTCCATTTGCAGAGCCTTCCAACGCAAAGCTTGGTTCCACTTCTAAATCAGAACTTTCTTGTTGTAACTGAGCCATTATATCATCTTCCTGTGACAATATAGCTTCTGGTTCCATTTTAATTCGTTTTATCATAGCATAATCAGAATCGTCATCTGTGTCGAAACTGTGCAAAACAAACAAATTTTAATTTTCTATGATAAATATTGTAAACATTTCTATAATGATATTATAAACATACATTCATACTGACGTTTTTGAAACAATTTGCTTTTATTTTAATTACAATCAGATTGTTACAACAAGAAACTGTAAAAAGACACTTGTTTATTGCAACAAATGCAATACGTTTTGTAAAACTTAGAAATTTGAAAAAAACTAACCTCTTATCAGAACTTTTATGTCTGCTTTCCAGATCCATCACAACGAAATAAAGCTGTTGAAACTCCGTTAGATAAATATTAGATAATTTTTATCTTTACAAAATAATGATGATTTCTCTTACAAGGTTACAGACATTTTGTAACAGGTGTATGATCATAAACTACGAATTACTTCAGCGTCCACTCAAATTTAGAAGCAATTTTCCTATAGATTGCGCTGCAGTAAAAGTACTGTAGCGGACTTCAGAGTTACTCTACGCCAATTTCAGGACAAGGAAGAACACCAGAGAAAATTTTCTCTTTGACCGTACTAATTTCAAATTAAAGAAGCTTCCAACTTTATCAACCGAAGAAGAAAACTGAGTTATCAAAACTATCAATGATAATACTTTGTAATATTTATACTTTACTACCTATTATTTTATCATACTGTACATATATTTCAATTATTCCATTTTTTTAGCAACGTAATCCTGTTTGTAAATAATTAGTTAGAGACGAGAATTTAAAGTATCCAGACATGTCAAATACATAGTGAAATTTGATTGGAATCTATTTTAAAGTTCAGTTTAGTGTTAAAGTTTTAAATAAATAAGTCAAGCTTTTCGTGATAAAATAAAGTTTTATTGTGTTATAAGAATTATTAAATTGTTAGAATTAACTGTCGAGATGCACAAATTGATAACCCCGATGTGATCGAAATTGTCTTTGAGATTGGTATGGCAGTACTTCTTTGGCCTGAAGTCGGTGTACAGTAGCTCTGAAATTCGTTACAGTACAACCTCACTGCGTTGCGAACTAGCATCAGGATTATACATTTGGTCAAATTTCATTTCATTTACTCACAGTTGATGAGAGCAATTTAAAAATACAATATTTATTTAAATCTTATAGATACTTATACTATATAGAGACATATAGCTCTTACATTATTAGACATTAATCATTAACCCCTTGCCCCACGATTTAAGTACTAACTGCGCGTGCTATAACCATCGGCAGGGTCGGTCAGATGTCGAACTATTTCATGGTCTGGCTGAGCGTTCGAAGTTGTACAAGGTACAACTAATTTTATGTTGCAATATGTTTGATAAATAATTATTACCAATTGATCATTGAACAAGATTTTTAAGGGTATCTTTCTAATATTTTTCAAGAAAATATATCTGTACATCCGAATGCGGCCAAGAAAAAAAAATGTTTGTCGCATGTAGTTCGAAAGACGTACCACAATTCTAATTCGTGTTTCGTATGTTTGCGCTGAAAGACGTACCCACAAGTCTAGCTCGACGTTGTAGTTTAAGGGGTTAATCTGATGTTAAGACTGCATGTAATATACTATTCTAATTTGCATTTCTTCCATCTAAGTAACAATAAATATTTAATTAGTTTATATTTATTAAATCTTACCCTTGACATACCAAGAACGATTCAATAAAAGATTACAATGATTGGCAGTGATTCTCTTCGCTTATAAAATTCAATTTGTCCAAAATGTGTCAACAATAACGAGCAAACTATTGTTTTCAACAACAAAAAAATATAAATTAACGTAATAAAATGAAAAATATGATGTATACGTAAGAAATATTTTCTAGAATTTTCTGTTTTTATCAGAAATTTTATAACTATTTGTATACAATTTAACACGTTGAATGCCACGCCAGTTTTATAAAGGTTGGTCCTGGCGCCACGGTAAATTTTTTATTATGCGATACATATAATATTGTAATATTATCTACAAGAAATATGTTACGGTGTACAATCCTCATTAATGAATTTATCTCATTGAGGTCACCGGTAACCCCTATGACGCTGTAGTGCAATTTCGCTCGATTCACTTATTTTTTTGCGCTTATCAATTATCTCATATTGTTTCTTCGCGTTGCTAAATAATTGTTCTATGTTGCTACGTTCCAGGACCTACCATAAACCATTAAACCATCAAGGCTCTTAATTGCCATCAAACATCTTTCAAGTCGTAACGTTCCTTAGGGTTATTGTTCATTAAGGTAAAATACGGAAAAAGCAGGTTTTTCTCATGTTCGACAGCCACTGATCGGAGGCGCACATATTAGATCTATATTTCATATATAAATAAAACTATTTTTCTATGTTTTATACTGCACTGATTTCGTCACACCACTGTAGTAATGATGGTAATAATAAAAAGTTTATAACTATTGACATTTGTTCAAATTATATATTTCTACTAATCTTGGTGTGTCGAATATTTGATGACCCCCACGGCCAAGTCGAATGCCGATCACCAGTGACTCTCATGGCATTCAATGTGTTAATAAAATAATTAATGTATGTTACACACATTCATTTTACAAATACAGTAGTGGTTCGCTAACTGTTCACGGATCGAAATCTTATACCAATTATTGAGAGAAATATTTTACAAAATATCCCATATATACATATTTATTTATTTATGTATATATATATATATATATATATATAGGTCCATTCCACGAAATTCGATATATGAATTGGAGGGTAATGGTCACTTAACGAAACAAAATTCCGGCCAGTTAACGTAACACTACTGTAACAGTCTTTAAATACGTACCTATATAAATCATGGAGTTACATTTCATTGTGATGTTTAGTTACACATTTATCATTAATGACTCTAGAAATAAATTTGCGGCTCTGGTAGAATTAAATTGCTATTTGCTTAACTAATGCTTTGAATGAAAGACTTTTTGTTTCATCTACTAAACATAGAACAGATTGCCCAGAAAAGTTTACTATATCCGCCATGGCGCCACATTCTAATAACTTTTGCGCGACTAGCATATGATTATTTTCAAGAGCATGGAAGAATGGCGTTCTTCCTGAGCGATGATCCTTCAGATTTACTTCTGCTCCCATTTCTACTAAAGCATTAATTCCATCTAAATTGCCTTTTAATGCGCAATAATGCAATGGAGCCATTCCTTAAAACATACACAATTAGAGATCTTTTTATTTTTTATTTTTGTATATGCCTTACCTGTTGAATCCTCTCTATTTAGCAGTTCAGATTCTGTTACATAACGCAAAAGATATGATAAAAATGGTGATGATTGTTTGCAGGCTAAAAGTACTGCAGAGTCATGAACAAGTTCTGATAAAATTGGTTTTGCTCCAGCATCTAATAATAATTTCACTATGTCTTTAGATGCTTCATTCATAATTGCTAATTCCAAACTTGTCTAAAAAAATATTATATGTATATTATTATATTTGTATACTAATTGTGTTAATGAGTACATATGGATTTACCCTTCCATCTTCTGTTAATACATCAATACTAGTTTTTGAAGCTTCTAAAATTAACAGTAATCTTTGCACTTCGTTTAATTGGTCATTCACCACAGCTCGATGTATATTCAACATCCCATTATCATCATAATGCTGCATTTCATTATAGTCTTTTTCTATTTGTATAGCAACTTTTTTACATAAGGAATGAGGTGTTGACAATACTTCCTTCACCCTGTTCACATCAGTATTATTATTAAAAAGTTCATTAAAGCAATTATCAAAGTCTAGTGTATTTTGTAAAGGTATTGTATTCTGTATACACATGGGGAACAAATCTATATCGTTGATATTATTATTAACTTTAGGTTTGCACTGTATTTCCCTTTCTGTTTGTGTGTGTACTTCTTGCATAACAGGAGGAAGAGTAACAGTGGAACATTCTGTTTGCTTTATTCTTTCTACGATAGGTATATTTTCTTTCACTAATACAAAACTTTCACTATCAAGAAGTCCAAATACATCAGTTTGAATTTGAGAATCATGAACTGTTCTTAATATTTCAGGTGGAATAATTGGGACTTGCTTTGCTATACCTATTCCACATTCTGCAAGGGCATGCAAAGCTTTAGCTCGAAGTTGATCATCTTTTACACTAATTAGTGCTTCTTTAATTACATTTAAACACTCTGATAATTTTCCATTTTCCTCATTGTCTTCAGTTTCTTCAGCTCTTATTTTATTCTGATTCTTATTTTTACAAAACTTTGGCTTATTTCCTATCTCAATAAATATACCTTGAGTATTCTTATCAACATTTTTGTTATTTACAAGTACTGAAGTACAATTTTTCTCTTGTGTATTATTATAATATTGGCCTATAGTTGTATTTTTTTCACATAGAATCATAACATCATCCTTATCATCATCATTTTTATTATTATCAAGTATTTTTGATATAGAATTTGCTGGTTTTTTTAAAATACTTGTAAGTTTTTGAATTTCACTACTATTTGGACTACAAGAATTACTATTTGATAGAATAATCTTTTTTGCAGAATGATTCCATCCATCCAAATTAGAATGTTGTTTTCTTTTCTTTGTTTTTTCAGGAGATACAGTGATTTTATTGGTACTAACTTTAGTTGGAGAGATTTTTAACTTCTCACATCTTACTACTGGAAACTTTGATTTTGCTAATTGAATTATTGAGTTTCTATTATTTGATATATTTGTTTTTCTTGAAACATCATTATTTTCATTTCCTCTACTTTTCTCATTATTTTTGACAATACATTCCTCTGTATTCTTTTGTTTATTTACTAATACTATATTATTCTTTCCTGGTTCTGTATTTTTTTCTGCAACACCTGGAATATTTTGAAAAAAGTTGTGCCTATTCTCATTTAATAGTAACAATTTGTTACTTTGATCCATTTTATTCACTTTAGCCAAGACATAGTGCTTTTGAACTACGTTCTTGCTTTTATTTTGAGTTACAGGCATTTTATATTTGACAGATGCCGATAATTCACTACAAGAAACAGGCTTTACAACAAACTGTGTATGTGGTTTTGTGTAGCAAGATGATCCTGTAGTAGATTTCTGTGCTTCTGCATGTAACTGAGATCCTAATGGTTTTAATAATGCACTAATATTATTTTGTGAAGTGACAGAAAAAGTGGTACCATTATTTTTTACATAATTTCTACCTTGCTGGACCTTAGTAATCTTTGGGATATTTAGTAAATTCTTCTGAGTCAAAATTTGTACTTTAACTTCTCCCAGATCTTTGCCATCTTTTGTTTTTATCCTCAATTTCTTTATACCATTAGTAGACAACGCCTTTTTATTCTTAATTCCACTCACATTACTTTGCACTTCTGTATTAGTAATAGTAATCCTTCCGCGATCTTTAAATACTGAACTACATTTAGACAAGTTGACCGTACTTGGAAATTTGTGTGGCAAGGTGAATTCCCGCTTGCATTCTATTATTGGGATATTAATACTGGCCTCTTTACGGTATCTTTTTGACGTTGATGAAAGCAGAGGATCCATTTAAATGTAACTCTATCGGCAGAATTTCGAGGAGTTGTGGAATTCCACGTGATGAAATAAGAAAATTATTGTAAAGCTGTTCGTATCACACATCGAATTATGTGACACATAACCTGCATACACGTAAATGGTAAAATGTTATTTAACCTTGTTTAGCTATACGATCGTTTATGTAATGGAAAAATTATTTCTTACCACTAGGATCAATCTTCAGTCAAAAAAATCGATGGTATTTGGTTTTAAAAATATGCAACATCCGCTTTATACAAAACGGGACATCCCTCCATCGAGATTTACTGCCATCTATTTTGTGAAAACTGCGTTTATGTTTAAGCCCAGGAAAAATCATCTGTTGACCTACTTTTTCCAATCATTTCTAATTATTGCGATTCTTCCTCAAACAAAATATGTATATAATTACCGAGCATAATATTTTCTGAGAAAAGTAGATAGATAAAATTAAGGTTTTAATTAAATTAAATTAGTTTTAGGTCTCGCAATTAAATTCATATAAAGGTGCAATAATGGGGATGTAAAATAATGAATAAATTTAATTAATCGAAGCTTCTAATTGAACGCATGCCTTTAATAGCTTTCATAAATAATTGTGTTACTTTTGTTTATTAATAACTTAAGAGCGTATTATAAAATAATTACATTTACATTCGTTCGTCTATAGTGTCTATAGGGATTATGTGAGGTAACTATTGGTATTACTGACAACAAATTTTACTATTTCATTGTCTTTACTATACTCCGTTCAACAAATCGAGACAGGTGAGATAAATAAAACCCCATGACTAAAATCTTACGATAAAAATAGAACTACATTCATAAACTGCAGATGTTATAGAAAACTACCTTTCCGAATATTAATTTCTCAGATAGTAAATTGACCATCGAATCAAAGTATGCGTATTATTTTCTCTTTGATATCACATTTATTATATTATGAATAATTATAACAGAGATAAGTAGGGTTACATGTACAGGATGTTCTCAAAATTATGGTACAACTAGAAAGATTACTCCTTCATGAGAAAAAGATAAGAAAATATGGAACAAAATTCTCTGGTGGGCGGTCAAGAGAGTATAAGTCAGAAAACTATGGACAAAACAGTATAACTCAACTTATGCTATTTTTGCCGCTAACATATTGTATCTTTGATATACAGTGACATGTAAAAGTTTTCGGTCTGTATATTATTAGAATCTCAGATATAAAGCGGAAAGTAAATGAAATTAATTTGTACTATTAGAATCACAAGTAAAAGACAACAATACAGAATATATTATAGCGTAGTTATTACTTATCGTGTTTTGATCAAAATTTATTTTACCCACTCACTAAAGAATTGGTTAGAACAAATTTCTGTTTCCGAAGAAATGGAATTAAATCGCAAAAACATTTATACAACAGGCTACAACTTGCAACTTCTAAATTCACTAATACTATTAGTAACTTATTTTGCGAGATGACCCAGGTTGCTAAACGCTCTAGCAAGTTGTGCGACTCGAGTGAATTGTATGCACGTTGATTGAACATGTTTCATTTCAGTTCGAAGCGTGCGCCACGTGTTCCCGTGATATTACGCAAGGAGAGAGGGGAAACTCATTAGGAGGGAGAGAGAAATGCCAGCTGTGGACGCTGTGGTTAAATTCCATCCGTGGCAGCGGCCGCATATACCGATTAGTTGGGAGTATTGTGTCAGCCGGCCGCGTAAACGTATGGAGTGATCACTGAGAAGATATTATAAGAGGATCGTTCGCGCAATCATGGACGATCGGCGGAACAGCCGCGAAGTGGTCACCATATTGTTCCTGTGCCTGCTCTGGTATGGAATCTCGAGCAGCAGTAACGTCGTCGGCAAGATGCTGTTGTCGGAATTTCCTTACCCGATGACAGTAACCATGGTCCAGTTAACCTCCATCACCGTTTATTCAGGCCCGTTCTTCAATCTATGGGGCGTTAGAAAATATTCCAATGATATTCCCTGGGGATACTATCTACGGTTAATCGTACCACTCGCCCTGGGCAAATTCCTCGCGAACGTGTTCAGCCACGTCAGCATTTGGAAAGTGCCCGTCTCTTACGCTCATACTGGTATGAGATATTATTTTGACAGTCACGTGTTTCGCACGCAGATCCATCTTTAAAAATAAAACAAGCCGACCTTTACTTCTAAATGCGCGCGAGCTAATGCCACACAATCTATACCTTTGCATTGTGATAATGATGATAACTCTGAATGATTTTAATCGCTTTAATTGCTTGTTTACATGTATTTATGAATGTTTGAAAAGAAATACTTTAAAATGTGAATAGATGTTATCTCATGATTCAAGTTGATAAGTAATTCATCAATGAAGCAAATTAAAGATAAGTCTTTTATCTAATTTTGCACTTCTGCCTACTGGATAAATACATGTATTTCTTCTAATTATTATCCAAAATTGTAATGCATACATTTTAGAACTAGTTTTTATGAATATGTTGCTTATTTTTTTACTTTATAAATCCCATATATTAACTAAAGTTTGGCTCTGCCCCAGTGAAGGCTACAATGCCCTTCTTCACGGTATTCCTCTCAAGAATCATACTGAAGGAAAAGCAGACTTGGAAAGTGTATCTTAGCCTAGTCCCAATCGTGGTAGGTGTGGCTGTAGCCACGCTTACAGAGCTCAGTTTTAATATGATTGGCTTGTTGAGTGCCTTAGCATCTACCATGGCATTCTCCTTGCAGAATATTTATTCTAAAAAGGTACTTAGACTAATTTAGCGCTCATATTATGGCTGTGGATCTATAATACTAATGATACATTTGTTTTCAGGTGCTACATGACACAGGAATACATCACTTGAGGCTTCTACTCATTTTGGGCCGCCTGGCACTGATATTATTTTCACCTATATGGTTATTATACGATCTGTGGAGGTTGATATACGATCCAGTTACTGGAGAATCTGCTGATTTAAGTTACTACATAATATGCTTATTACTATTAGATGGTGTGCTGAATTGGTTGCAAAATATCATCGCGTTTTCTGTACTGTCTATCGTTACCCCTTTAACTTATGCAGTGGCCAGCGCAAGTAAACGTATATTCGTAATCGCGGTAACTTTGTTCGTGCTTGGGAATCCAGTGACATGGTTAAACATATTCGGTATGACGTTGGCCATACTCGGTGTGTTGTGCTACAATAAAGCGAAGTATGATCAAAGAATAGAGAAAGAGAGTCGAACAGCGCTTCCGAAGTATTATGATAAAGACCGTAACGGCAGCAATAGTTCCTTTATGGTAAATGGATGGACTGGAAAGAAGCACCAATTGCTTGCAGTCTAGTCTGAGTTATATTCGACTCATTTTATATTTGACAAGTTCATATGAGTTTTTTCTGTTGATATATGGTATCTCAGTTATAGTGATTCAGATATTTACATGGGAAGTATAAGGGGAAGATATAGCATTCTAGTTAAAACAATATACACGGATCAAAACTCATATGATGACAAAAATATTTATATACACGTACATATTTTATTAGTATTATTCTGCACAAAGAGTAATTCATTTATTACTCGAAGTTGATTGCCTTTTTTTGTTCGTTTTAGGGATTATTTTAACCCCTTGCCGTACGATTTAAGTTGCGAATGCGGTCAAGAACAAAATGTGTTTGTCGCATGTAACCCGAAGAACGTACGTTTCATGTTTGTTTTGTTTATGATTGGCCTGAAGGATGTACCACGTTTCTCGCATGTGTTCTTCATGTTTGGCCCAAAGGACGTACCATGAGTCGAACTCGATGTTGTAGGTTAAGGGATTAAGATGATTTTACGTTTATGTTATCTTGCTTCTCACAGGCGAATAGACTTGCTGGCAAGGTGGAAGTATATAATTCGCAAAATCGTTAGCGTTCATAGCTAATTGCTGGGTCAATTAGCCTCTAAGATCGATTACATTCCCCTGTTGCGAAAACAATGGTGAATAGATAGAAATCGGATTTCAACTGTATCGATCGATGTCAAGCGATATTCACATATTATCGATTAGGTTTCAAATTCAATACCTTCTTCCAGCTAGCTCAGGTGTTGTGGTTGAATATCATCAGCTCCTTAGGTTGTTATATCTCTTTAACCCTCTATGAAAATTTGTCTTGATAATACTCCCAGTAGACTTTCGCTTGTATGGACTATTACCACCGAAATAATATTTTTTCTATGTACCGCCCATATTAATGTACGAAGTTTGGAAGTATAATTGGCGGAACGAATACAGTAAGGTTTTAAAAATTGGACTGCTCCTTTTTGGATGCTAACTTAATTTAGATTCTCTAATTACAGTCGTTAAAACCGCGTAGTGCCTTATTATATTAATTCCAGCAATTATACCTCCCTCTAGAAATTCTAGAAATAATTCGTGGAGGGTTAAATAAATGTCACGTTGACGTTCTTCAAGCGTGTGTTCAGATATGGTATGCGTGAATTGTATGCAGGAGATGTTCTAGCTGAAAGCAATCTATACATTTATTTTTATAAATAAAATACAGGTGTGTATAAAAATATACCAGATATGTTCACCACCATTTTCCTCGTTACACTGCTTCGTCACAACGATTTGCTCTCCTTTACAGAGTTTTTATAATGTTAGGAGGAGATACCGGTCGGGCTACGGTGAGGTCCAAACGTGGACCAGCCGCAGCGATCAACGGGACAGCCAAGCAACAGTCGCAATCTTCTGTGCTGGCCTCGTTTACTCGCAGAATTCTGTCATAAGGTTTTAGAACGCCATCGCAGGGTCCTCCAGGCCGAAGACGATTTATATAAACTCCACGCTCGTACAGACCATCGGATACGGAGAAGCCAAAGTCCTCGTATACTGGGTCCTTGTGTAAGGAGACGTGAACTATCTGTTGAGGCCTGTCTGAGTTGCTGCATTCCTGTGGCCTGAGAATGGGGAAAAGATTAAAATAAATTATTATTTTTAGAGAAATGCTTTTAAGTAGAAAACTATTATGTAATAAAACAGGAAAAAAGATTTTATAAGTTCTATTCTTACCCAGGATAAGGAGGCATGTGTACATCCAGTTGACCACTATCCACCGAAGCTGTATCCCAAAGCCTCAGAATCTCCGGACCTGTCCCACTGTTTTCTCCTAGCTCTCCCCAAGAATCCACTGCACTGTCTACACTAGGTAGACTCTCCCTAGCTGGTCGAAGAATTCCTGAAGGATACTGTTGCACCGAATCGCTTCCTATACTGGACTCCTTGCAGTACTCTCTATAAAATTCAATAATCCATCGTTATTTCTCCATGCCATTTGATCTTTACAACCTTAGGGGAGTAGGAAGCACCGAAGAGTTAAGAAGAGCTTAGTCGGTACTTGTAGGTCATATAGTTACCTGGTTTCTGAGGTAGGGTCCGGTTTCCTCACGGTCAGGGCGATAACCGAGTTCCCTGGTCGATGTAACAGCTGTGCGGCTTGTCTGAGGTCGCCAGGGTCTAGTTTTTGCCCGTCTATAGCTAATAGCCTGTCCCCTGGAGCTAGGCTGCCGGTTCTGTAAGCCAGAGATCCCTTACGAACCTCGGTAATGATCAAATCCTCGTTCACTGTGAGACCTACATCAGGCTGTCCGCCAATAGGTCTCGCTACTCGCACTGTGAACACTCCTGAGCTGGGTACAACTGGTCCACCGACCTTGTACTCCGTTACTAGCTCGATCTGTCGAGAAAAAGAAACTTTAAATTTAAGAATTGTTCTCTAATAACTTAGAGGTTGAAGTAAAAGAAACAGAAGAGGGAAAAGAATAAAACAACAGAATACGAAAAGATGTAGATAAAGTCGGCGCTTAATAAATAAAAGTAAAATATGAAGAATCACTACAACGTAATTATGCTAATTACCATTTGAGAAGTTTCCAAAATGCCAGTTACCTCAGCTGGCTGAAGATCTCTGAGCATTCTACGATTAATTGCAAGAACTTTATCTCCAGGTAAAAGCACTCCGCTGCGTTCGGCTGGACCTCCAGCTTCTAATAGACTGACGACATAATTTAGACGATCTTCAGCGAGCTTCAAAGCAAGTCCAAATCCTTTGTGATCTGGTCTAAGAACCACGGTCAGGCTCTCTTTCGTTTGCAGAGTTTGATTGGAGGTCTGTTGCGCTTGTGGCTGCGCCCTTCTCTTGACTGTTCTCTGTGAAGCACTAGGAGGCCTAGGTAAGATCTGTAGCCTAGCTATGCGAGAGTCGAAGTTGTTTCTGAGCAGTTTGGCGGCTGTCACTGCATCCTGGACAGGGGTTTCGTCCACTGCCAATAGTTTGTCTCCAGGTTGCAGAGCGCCACAGCGATCTGCGGTACTTGCTGGTCTTAAACTTTCAATGTAGACTCCGTTTGGTGTTTCTCTTACTGTTAGACCCAGTTCACCTGAAATTACATATCTACAAATAATTACAAATATACAAGTTAATTATTTAAGTTGAAATTGGAAATGCACTGTTCGATCAAGGTACCCGAGAGTCCACGTTCCAATTGCACCAGAAGGGAACCGGAAGTAGCTGCCCTGGCCTCTTCCATGTTAGCAACGTCATACTCAATAGTCAAGGAAGCCACAGGAGCATCGGAACTTCTTCTAAGCGCTCTTTGAGCCTCTGCCAAGGTCAAACCTCTCAATTCAGTATCATCCACAGCTAATAATCTATCTCCAGGCCTAACTCTTCCTTCTTTTGCCGCTGGTCCATCAGATTTCACTCCAGTGACTACCAGAGCTCTAGAAACTCCACCCCTAAGGGTAACTCCGAGACTTCCTCCTTCGCGTTCCACCCTAACTTGAGCTACTTTAGAGGAAACACTGGAAGGAGTGGATACAGGACTGTCCTGATCGTCTAGTAGCAAGAAACTGTGCGTATGGTAAGACTGAGATGCGATCTCGTCGGGTCGAGCTGAATCGGAACTGGCGGACGTGGCCACGCTTCCTGGCCGAGCACGGTTCTTATGCGAGCGCATGGTGGTCAGTCTCAGCGAGCTGAACATCCTCGGCAGTCTATCCGTGGAGTATTCTACTTAGCACCGATGCTGTTTCCGTATCGAGTTATCATTACCATCGCTGAGGAAGTGCAGAAAAGATTCTGGTCTACGTCTTTTCGTTAAACATCCCTTTAAGGCACGCTTATTATGGAGCGAATGGACCGTCTGGTTTTCCACTTAAATAATTTCCATGGAACACCGACGAAGTTGAAACGACAGGTCACTAGATTCGAATATCTCGACGAAAATTTGTGAATTTCAACCGGGTACCACACTAAAACTATTACACTTCGTTTCACTACGATTAACTATCGATCAGACATCTACTAAATCGCAATAAATATCCATTTTAGAAACGACGAACGTGTTCAGAAGAGCAAGTACGACCTGGAGGAGCAGCAGGTCGTCAAGGAGCCGCTACGATCGGCAGATTCTTGTTGCTCGCGGCGTAAACAGCGCATCTGTGTCTTTGTTCGCGGGTTTGAAGAGCCGTCGACGATAGAAACTCGTCGTGGAGCGGGCGTACGGAGAACTGTAACGAGTAGCGATGCCTGTCGAAAATAGCCGCACGATGTAGGGCCGCAATCGTGGTAGCGTCGAGTCTATTTATAGGGGCGAGAGAGAAAGAGAGAGGGAGAGAGCGTGTGCGGCCCTGCGGGCGCCCCGCAGTCGCTGCACCGTCAAATAAGTCTGCACTTCTCGTTAAAAGCTTCGATTTCGAGCGTCTGTGTTCCCTTGAACACGCCGTAAAGCCTTTCCTCTTGGTTTCCTCGCGTTTCAACCGTTTGCCCCTCCCAGATTTCACGGCCGGTATATTCTCTCTTATTTTTAGTTATCGATATCCGCCACGTCGAATGATATCATCAGTACCTAGGAGTTTTTTACGTAGCGGTTCGATGATCGGATTAGAATTTTGATTACCCTTTGCACAGCTTACGGAATTAGACTTTGTTTGGAACAACGAATAACTTTTAGAGGCGTAGGATTTATACAGGGTTGGAAATGAACCAGAGAACACACTTTGTCTTTGGTATTAATTTTATACAAAACTTGATACCTCGAGTGTTTCTAAACCATGAAAAACTTTGTCAAGGTATTAGAAATCCTCGCTATAGTTGATTGTTAACAATATTCGTTATATGAACGAAACTACAGACAGCTATGAGCGCTTTAAAAATTCTGTTCGAAGGCAAGTAAAAAATATTTAAATAACGACACTTTCGAAATGATCTGTTTATAACAGTCGGTTAAAGAGCAGAAAGTAAGAAGCCGCGGATTCAGGGTCCATTGACCGATCCTCTCGGTCGGTCGGTTTTTGCGGGCTCTTCCTACGACGTCTCTTTCCTCTCTAAATCTTTCCTCGTTTCAATTTCTCGAGCTGCTTAGCGTTTCGATTTATCCCCTTCCACCCTCACTGATCCGATCTCCGCTTCGCGGAACTGCGCGCGTACACCTTCCATCGTTCTTCATTTCTCGACCTTTCGCTCCCACGTAATCTGCATTGGAGGCTTCGCTAAATACCTTTTAAATTCGAAAAACTACCGATCACAAATTGATACATTAACGATGGTTGGATATTCCTACGATCTTAAGGAAAGGTCCATTTATTGAGGCTTTTAAAATAAGAACAGACTGTCGAGTTTATTTTAAGTTTCAATTAAAGATAGCAATGTCCATGTTCTTTAGAGAGTAATTAATTATTAAGTGCGACCGCTTAACTCACCATCCGTGTCGGAATGATCCAATTGAATCAATTAGCCGGCTAATGGGTCTATCAGTCGATGCTTTTTCCCCATTTCTTTTGCTATCGACCTCTACCTAACTCTAGGCTCTCTCTATATCATTTTCACGATTATCACAATTTAAAGATCAGCGATATCTACCAAATATTATGTCAGAATCGATCATCCTTGTTAGATTATGTCGACGAGTATCTTAGGATTAAATTGATCGTATTTCAGACATCCATGTGAAGTGTCCTGGAGTCTTCTTCAACGTGTCTCGACTTCGTTGCCGAATCGTGGTGCTTTGCCAATTCTACCGTGTGCTAAAGTTAGCGTATAGTCAGTGCGGAGCCAAGTGTGCGACCCGAAAAGCGAGAAGGAACACGAGAAAACGTATGGAGAAGAGAAAGATAGGCGTGGACGGTAGACAGGATAGAAATAGAAAAAAAAAGATGAGTGGAGGAAAAATGGAAAAAGGGAAGGAGACGCGAAAGGTGTAGGATTCATGAAAGAAAATGAAGCAAAGGTGGCGAAGAACGACGAAAACGAAAAGAAAACGCGGTCCTTTTATGAAAAAAAAAAAAAAAAAAAGAAGACAGGAAGAGCGAGAGCAGTCGT